ATTTTCTTTAATAAATCTTTATCAACCATAAATTATTTCTTTTTTATCAGTATTTATTTTTATCATTTATAACGCTAGAAACCGTTTTTTATATTTACTAGCYGATCACAATAAACAATAATATTTGAATAAAAAATTCTACATATCATGGTCCGAAGGCAAAATAAACAACCAATCACGGGCGAAGCTGTGACGGGTCGGCTAGTATATATATATATACTAATACAAAAAATTTTTTTTTTATTTAGTTAAATATTAAAATCAGTTCTTAAATGTTAAGTCAGAAATTGTATTAGGCACTCACGATAACGCTGTTTGCCACTTGTCTTTGAAAGTGAGGATACCAAACCCCTTCGTGGAAATATAATACGCCGATACTCCTTTTCGACTGCTATATTGAATTGATACGAAGTTCTACGCCCCGAAACTGCTGGTGCAGGGCTCTGAAAATAAGTACGTATTCACGCGGCTGCTGTCTTTCGACGACCGCGGCGGCGGCGATGTCCTTCACGCGTATTAACAAACCCTCTATAGCCCCAGCGCCGTACGTAAATACACGCATTTCATTGGTTCATTTGAATTACCCGCCAACATAGACATAATATTATATATTAATCATATATTAATAGATATTTATAACCCAATTTTAACTCATTATCAAAAATCAAACTAACAACAATGCTGAAAGCTGTTTTCAATTTTGCTAATTTATTTTTTGTGACATATTGTTTTTTTCTATTCAATTAAAAATGTTGTTTGAAAATATCGTAAAACAAATGAATGAACATTTTATATGTGAAATTGATTGGTCAAAGTCAGACTTGGAAAAACAAAATATAATTATTAGAGCAAACATAATTGATATGGAAAATGCAATTGAATGGGTCAATTTCTTTAGTTCAATATCAAATACAAATTGGATTGTCAGTTTTGAATTAAATAATCCTCAGAAGTAAGTTGGCCTTCACAGCTAATTATAATGAAAATATTGAAAATAAAAATAAAATATATGATGTGAAAATTATTGTAGTGTAGAACAGTATTATTAAATAATTAATAGGTAGGTAGGTATCCTAATATTTAACAAAAGCTGTTGTAATTTTTACTCTGATCATTCAAATAATTATAATTATGATTTTTGTTTTTTTATACATATAATATAAAGAAACTTAAATAAATATATCAAGATAATTTCCCTCTTAAATAATATAAATACATAATTAACTAGCTGTACACACTAAAATAAATTATTTTTAATATTTAATATTATTCAGTATTATTTTATTTTATTTTATTTTATTTTATTTTATTGGTTATACGGGCTTTGGCCCTTTTACATTACAATATATATTTTTACATTAGACATTTTACAATCAGATAAAGCAACTTAGACCTAAACAATTTACATTAATATAGAATATGTATATCTGGTGACAATAATAGCTTAATATGTTGGAAAAAAAAAAATAAATAAATAAAAAATATTTTACAAATTTAGCAAATCGTCGAAGGAAGGCTCTGCATTGGCAGACGACATTAGGCGTCTTAAAGGCTTATTAGCCATATAGTTGGTGGTGACGTGTGGGACATAGAAGAAATCCTTTGAACGGGATTGACGGGATGGAACTTTAATGGAGATTTGAGAGAGAAGGACTGGAGAATCTATATTGTTGTTTAAAAGGCCCGCAAGGAATTTTAAACCTGCAACATAGCGACGTTCGGCCAAGGGGGCCAGACCAAGATGAACAGCAATCGGTGTATAGTCGTGAGGTGGACAAGGTATCTTAAGAATATGACTAGCGTGGCG